TCCCCTCCAGCATCATAAGGCAGCGTGTAACAAAGGAAGTTTGAACTCAAGAGGTAACAGTTTAAGTGATGGAGGGCTAGAGCTGAGAGTGAAGCATCCAGCTGATATGAAGTGAGGGGAGACACGCAAGAATGCCCAAACTTGCAGATAGTACCCATTTGACCAGCCTCGATGGCTTGATAATCAGAACTCGACTAGAGGAAGACAATTTTTTAAAAAATTTTTTAAATGAAGGAAATGAGGCTAAATTGCTCCAATTTGATGAATTTGACCTATACTTATGGATGTAGTAGCTCAAAATACTAACTGAGAGGGAAGGAGTCTTCACATCAAGTACCAATCCTATCCCCTCTGTATGCAGGGTAGATAGGGATGAGCAACTTAGACACTGGGTACCTAAAATGAGGGGGTGGTAAAGGCTTGAAGTGACTGGCTTACAAGTTTTCAAGAGGGAGTTTAGTTTAAGAGTGTGCAGGGGAAGGTAGAGTCCCCACTGAATAGTTTTCATCTTGTCTAGATGAGTCTGATGAATGGAGATGGGGCTAAGTCTTACGATTCAACAGTGAATAATTGTTATCATGACTAATTGCGATTGTCACAACTGTAAAGGTAGAAGTTTTGCAACAAAAACAAAGGAGTAGTTAATGTTACAGTCCAGAAACAGAGGACCCTAGGACCATCATGGGAGAAGAGCACAAGCAGAATGTGGGACCCTATCCAGAAAAGCAGCGACACCAGAGACGGAGGCAGAGATGAGGACATGGAGAGGGGGAGAAGCTGAGGACTCCAGACTGGGTGCTGGTGGCCAAGGAGGCAGGCTTGCAGAATGTACCTTTTGGTTGCTTTAATTATTATATATTCCTAAGTTTTTTTGTGTACATCCCCCTCCCCCCCAAAAAAATAGAGGAAATGGAAGCAAACAATGTTGAATGATGATGCACGGAGGAGATCGTAATCGCTGCAATGAAACGATGGTGTAAAGCCAATGTTCTCCCATGTAAACTAGCACTCAGTTCACAATAATAGCTTGAAAAAGAGAGAGAGAGAGAACAGTTTACTAACTGGCACACCTACTTTAAGACCCAACAATGCTCCCCTGAGGCTGGTTGAGAAAGGAATATTGTTAGATGCCTTCAAGTTGGTTCTGACTCATGGTGATCCTATGCACAACAGAACAAAACACTGTCCAGTCCTATTCCATCCTCACAATTGTTATGTTTAAGCCCATTGCTGCTGCCACTGTGTCAATCCATCTCATCGGGGGTCTTCCTTTTTATTGCTCACCCTCCACTTTACGGAGCATGATGTCCTTCTCCAGGGACTGGTCCCTCCTGATAACATGTCCAAAGTATGAGAGATGAAGTCTGGCCATCCTCGCTTCTAAGGAGCATTCTGCACTTCTTCCAAGACGGATCTGTTTGTTCTTCTGGCAGTCCACATTACTTTTAATATTCTTCTCCAACACCATAACTCAAATGCATTGATTCCTCTATGGTCTTCCTTATTCACTTCTGACTGTCACATGTATATGAGGCTATTGAAAATGCCTTGGCTTGGGTCAGGAACACCTTAGTCCTAGACTACTTTAAAGAGGTCTTGTGCTGCAGATTTGCCCAATGCAATCCATAGCTTTATTTCTCGACTTCTGCCTCCATGAGCACTGATGGTGGATCCGAGCAAAATGAAGTCTTTGACCACTTCAATCTTTTCTCCATTTACCATGATGTTTGTTATTGGTCCAGTAGTGAGGATTTTTCTTTCCTTTACATTGAGGTGCAGCCCATTTGAAGGCTGTGCTCTTTGATCTTCATCAGTAAATATTTTAAGTCCTCTTCACTTTCAGCAACCAGGTTGTATCCTCTACATATCTCAGGTTGTTAATGAGTCTTCCTCCAATCCTAATGCCATGTTCTTCTTCATATAAGCCAGCTTCTGGGATTATTTGGTCAGTATAATTAATGAATAAGTATGGCTACAACCCTAGTGCATACCTTACTTGATTTTAAACCATCCAGTAGCCCTTTATTCTGCTCGAACAACTGCCTCTTGGTTTATGAACAGCTTCCTCAAGAACACAATTAAGTATCTGAAGTATGAAAGACAAAGTCTCACCATCCTGGCTTCTAGGGAGCATTCTGACTGTACTTCTTCCAACACAGATTGGTTTGTTCTTATGGCAGTCTATGGTACCTTTAATATTCTCCTCCCACACCATAACTCAAATGCATTAATTCTTCCATGGTCTTCTTAATTCACTGTTCAACTTTCACATGCATATGAAGTTATTGAAAATACCATGGCTTGGATCAGGCGCACCTTAGTCCTCAAACTGACGTCTTTGCTCTTCAACACTTTGAAGAGGCAGATTTGCATAAAGCAGTACATTGACTGTGCCTTCCATGAGAAGGAAGTGTAGGGACCCATTTTACTTATGAAAGGCCCAAATGGAAACAGCTCTAATGTCCCCCAGTAGGAGAATGGGTATGTAAGTCATGAGAATGCACTAGCTGTCTGTGCACTTAGTTTTATGCATGGCCAACCTCTGTAAAGCATGGCCAACCTCTGTTGCCAAAATCAGGGAGCAATTCCAGACCATCAGGAATGCCTTCCATCCTTTAAAACTGGTCCCCCCACTCCCCACCTCACCCCCATGGTATTCTGGCTGGGAAAGGGTAGCTCTGCCTCTTTAAGGGCACAAGCTGCATTTTACATTCTGTTGTCCTTATCTGGGTGCAAAGGAGGCTGGGAAATGTGTCTTTAGCTGAGTCATCATGTCCCAAAGACGAAAATTCCGTTATTACATAATTGCAAGAAAAGAGGTAGTGGGGGACCAGGAGCAGACAGTCGCCACTGCCACAGAAGAGACAAGGTAGATTTGATGGGGGGGGGGGAGGGGGACAAGGCCAGGCCAGGAGGGCTGGTCCAAGTGACACAGAAAGCTCTAGAGGGTGAGACAAGTCCTCAAGCAGGTCCCAGGGAATGGGAAGTCGCCCAGTGGAGGACCTGACCTTGGCTAAACCCATTAACTCATTCCTGGGATGGAGGGCGGGGAGGGGCGGAAGGGCCAAGATCCTGGGCCAGCCAGATCTGGGTGACAGGTTGTTGTTAAGTGCTGTGGAGTCAGCTCCCACCCGTAGCGACGCTGTATAGGGTTTTCGAGGAGTGGCTGGTGAGTTTGAACCACCGACCTTGCAGTTCAAACCAACTATGCAGTCCAACACATTAACCCACACCACCAAACCAGGATCCCATGGGTAACAGGTTACATGGTGATAGCATGGGAAAGTTTTCCTTCGATGTGTTCTGTTGTTCAGTTAAATAGAAACAGGGCTGGGGCAGGGCCAAAGGTGTGGGCTGACCATGTTAGCAGGGACAGGACACTGGCTCAGGGAATCAGCAAGGAGGGCTGCTAACTCTGTGGGTCCACTTGGGTTCATGGTCATTAACCTAAAGTTCTTTCCATTGGTTCCAAGGGTCAAGTACCCCAAAGGCACCACAGCACCAGAGCGTGTCCCCATGGTTCCACTGAGCCAAGGGAGGAGGTTGTAGGCCAATCCCCTATGAACTCTGGGCCATCAGCCATACTGTAATCCCTATAGGAATGAGGGGCCCAACTGACCGCAACAGAGAGCAGAGCATGATCCTAGGAACTAAGCAAGCCGGAGCGAAAGGTGCCTTGAGCCCCTTCTGAACGCAGGTGCCAACAATTGCAGGCAAGTGCAAAGCAAGAGCCAAGAGGGCAGGTGGCATGCTGCTCCCTCCCCCTTCCTCCCTCTCCTCCCTCCACCCCAGGAAAGAGCCTGAGCAGACCAAAGGCTGTGTGAGGCATCCAGACATACAACGAGGGGGGAAGCTCCTCGTTTCCAGGTGTTTGGTTTTTTTTTTTTATTTGCCTGTTATAATTCTGATATTTATGTACATATATATATAGACTTTTGTTTTTTGTTGAGGGCTTGTGGACAGACCAAGCAAAGGCAGATGGGGGCTGTGGCTGCAGTGGAGCTAGGGGAAGCTGTCTCTCTCTCTCTCTCTCTCTCTCTCTTTTTTTTTTTTTTTGTCTGTTTTTATTTTTCCTGGGTTGGGGTCATCAAAGCTAATCACTATAAACCCTAAAAACCTAGACTGAGACATCTGCCTAACACACTAGTTATATGGGGAAAGGGCAAAGGGAGAAACTTTCAAAGTCACAATGTATTTACATTCCCAAGGTGGGGAAAGGGGATGCTGGGGATGCTGGGAGAGGCCCGGGACATGGGCAGGGGAGGCAGTGGGCCGCCCCTCGCCCGGCAGTGACAGAGGCCACAGGGATGTTGCGTGGTAGGTACCAAAGGCAGCGTGTGTGTGTGTGTGTGTGTGTGTGTGTGTGTGTGTGTGTGGTGCACCTGAAAGCCGGCCGTGGGGCGGGGCGGCAGTGGGATGGGGGTGCAGTAGTTGGGGTGGGGCCTTCCTGCCACCCGTGGCCAACTCGCCCTGTTCCCATCTTGGTTGGAGCAGAGATGGCGAAGAAAAGGGAGCAGATGGTGGGACAAGGAGTTCTGTCCCCCCTCCTAGGCAGGCTGGACAGGGAGTGGCTGAGGGGTTGGGGGAGGCACGCAGGCAGAAGGTACCAGTCCTGGCTGGGGTCTGCCCCCAGTGAGGGCTCAAGAGGGACAGCATCTCAGCATCCCTGCTGGAGGTCTTCCTAGTGTCTTTCCATCCCCCAAACCAGGATCTTCCTCTGCCTAATCAGCCTGAGCTGACTTGGGCAGAGTGCTGGATGCCTAGGGATGGGGTGCAGCTGGGTTTTGGCAATAAACTGGGGAACAGGGTTGAGAAGGGAGCTGGAGGCAGTGAGCACCTCTCCTCTGTCCCAAAATTCCAGCCCCACCAGCCCAGGGCCAGAGGGCAGGGCCCAGGGTGCAGTGGGCAGGGGCAGAAGCCCTGATCCCCAGGTCAGGGGCATGTTGGCCTCAGATGCCCCTACAGCCTGGCCCTGGCCTCATGTGCCTGGTTCGTCCCCGCTACTCCAAGGTCACTGCAGGGTTGACGGGGGAGGTGGCCCCAGAGCTGTCATTGCCACCGGCTGCCTCCTTCTCCTTCTTGCCGCTGTACTGGCCAATGAAGGAGCCATCTTCGTTGAACTGGACGTCCACACTGCCACCATAATCTGCCAGGCTGTCATCACTGCCCAGAGGCTTGATGTCCCCAATGAGGGATGGCTGGCTGCTGCCAAAGGCCTTCTCCTCGTTGTCACTGCAGAGGCAGAGGGCAGGAAGGCTATGTTTGCTGCACTGCATGCCGGGAGGTGTAATGTGGTAGCTACTGGAGCTGCCAGGGGCCCTGGGGGGCTGTGAGGGAGCAAGTGGGTGCTGGGCCTGAGGGGTGGGGTCTGGCAGAAAGGGGACGTGTGTCTACTTGCAGGCTAGGCAGTGTCCTTGGTGTGGACCTCGAGGCTCCCAGAAGCTGTGGTGCCAGTGTGGGACAAAGGAATGGGGGGGGTCGGCTTTTCTATGAAATGGGGATCAACTGTGAATGGAGATAACTGTGCTGGGGAGAGCTGGGGCACAGAGTCCTGGGGTCCCCACGCCCCTCCTTACCTCTCCAAAGACCTGAAGTTGCCCGGAAGCATAGAGAAGAGAGAGAGACAGGGTTAGATGGGAAAGACACCAGAGACCCTGCGTCTGCTCCCAGCTCACCTGTACTCGCCGAAGGTCTCATCCTTCATCGGCCGGGCTTCGGAGTCCACCTGAGTGTCCTCTTTGTCCTTCACTGGAGACACAAGGAGAGGGACCTGCTTCCTCCCCTGCCCCCCGGTTTCGGCCCTCCATGCCCCCTGAGCAGTGCTTCCCCGGCCAACCCCTCCCTGTCCCCAACAGGCCCAATGTCCTGCCAGGGGTTCATAGAAAGGACGGCGGGCAAGGTGGCCCGCTGCTCCCCCAAGCTCTGCCACTCTTGCCCTGCGCCCAGCACCCCCGGGCCCTGCTGGGGCCGCCTGGACCCGGGGCTCGGGGGTCACCTGAGTACTTGCCACCCTTGCTGCGCTTGATGAAGCAGAGGATGAGCAGAATGAGAAGCAAGAGGATTATGGCGCTGACGAAGCCGATGAACCAGCCCTCAGTGGCAAAGCCGGCCGGAGGTAATCTCACCCGTCCTGAGAGTAGGGAGCAGACAGCCATGTCCTCAAGGCCTCCCTGAGAGTTGCTGTTCTCCCTCGGCCCCCAGGGGCTGGGTGCAGGGAGTGGGGGATGGTGGCCTCACCGGTGCCGTTGGTTTTCACAGCCATGCGGTACAGGACTTGCTTTTCCTTGACCACATGGATCTCGTAGTCGGTGTCTGGCTGCAAGCCGCACTGTGTGTAGGAACTCTGGTTGTAGTGCACAAACTGCTGAGGGATGTCCGAGCTGACCTTCTCCTCTATGCAGGCACGGAGGTGACACGGGTGAACAAGAGCACCGCGTAGTCCCCAGATCCATGCCACCCGCACCGAGGACCTCCTTCAGCCTTACCACCCCGTGCCTTGAACCGGATGTGGAACCTGAAGTTGCACTGGTCCTCCTTAGGGACCCAGGAGACAATACTATAGTTCTCGCCTGCTGTGGCTGATATGTTGACAAAATCCGGGATCCCTGGGGATGAGGAGGGGATGAGTTGCCAGGTCACCTCAGCACCAACCCCACCCCTTGCCCGGGCACCCCTCAGCTCACCGGACAAGGCCATAGTGCCCCCTTCCCGCACAATGGCTTCGCCCGGGCCCTGTTTCGTGGTAGCCTGCAGCTGGAAGCGGTAGCGAAGGTTGGGATTGAGGTTGGTCAGGTTGTGTGCCCGCAGCTCTGGCTTGAAATCCAGTTGTTTCTGATGGTCATCCTCAACCACTGAGGGGACAGGAGGGCGTTACGCTAGCCAGGGCTGGGGCCCCACGCCCCGCTCCGGGACCCACATACCGGGCTGGTAGTTGAGCACATAGCCGGTGAGCACCCCGTTGTGGCTGAGCGGGGGCTGCCAGTGCAGCAGTAGGCTGGTATCTGACTGGCATTCCAGGTGCAGAGCCTCTGGGTGGCCTGGGACTGCGGACACAGAGAGGAGCCAGCAGGCACTCATGGGGCTTCCCATGGGTGGCAGGCAGGGACAGTGCAGGCCCCAGACTCACCTCCCTCTGGGGTCATGAAGGTGGTCTCGCTGGCAGGCCCCGCGCCCCGCCCATTGAAGGCCCGCACCTCCAGGTGGTAGGAGCTGTAGGGGCGCAGGCCGCTGAGGATGGCACTGGTGGTGTTGGCAGGCACCGTCACGTGTTCTCTGTGCACATGCCTCTTGCTGTGCCTCCTCTGATTGCCCTCCCACCAGTACGTCACCTGGTGCAGGCAAGAGGAGATGCCTGGAGGCAGAGCCAGCGGGAATCCCAACCTTGCTCCCCACTGCCCTGAGGGAAACCCTTTCCTAATCTCCCCTAATCCACAACCCATCCCAGGCACTGTTGCTCTAGGTGGCTACACACCCTGCCCACGGATCACCCCTCCTGATGCACACCACCTGGGACCCTTACATTGTATCCCCGGAGGTGGCCCTTGACCTCGGCTGGGTCCATAGGCCACCACTTGACCAGCACAGCACTGGAATTGAGGTTCTTGACGCCATCGATCCGGGGACTAGCCTGGGGAACTGGGAAGAGCCGGGATGTGGGTCGCCCAGAGCCTTGGCCCCAGATCCCAGGCCAGCCCGGAGCTCCCCCACTAGAGATGAATTTGGGTGCTATATGGAGGGGCTTCAGCTGTTTCCCTACTAACTGCATATCAGCTGCAAGAGGGAAATAGTAAATACATGGAAGAGAGACCAGACAAAACTGTGACCCATGACCAGGAGAGAGGCAAGGCATGATTCGGACTTCCCTATGGGCAAACGTTTAGGGACCTAAGAGAAGACCCTGAGTCACAGGAAGGGCACCCTAAAAAGCTTGCGGACCAGTCTGTCATGGTTGTTTGTACTTACAATCCTCCCCAGAGTAGCCGACAGTGACGTGGGGCTCGGGGCCCTTGCCCTGGCTGTTGACAGCCTGGACTTTGATCTCATAGGGCACAAAGGTGGACGTGTTGGTCACCACCAGAAATGGCTCGCTCACAATCTGCTCCTGCCAGGCCGCCCCCCGTGTCCCCTGAGGACGCCATTGCACCCGATACTGAAGCTGGGGGGCGTTCCAGTCCATCCACTTGAGCGGCTGAGGGGCAAGCAGACCAGGAGTTAGAGGTCAAGGGCACTGATCTTCAGGTCAGTGGTACCCTGGAGCCCGCCTGCTGCCTCACCTTCCACATGATGACCATGTTGTTGGTCTCATTGCCTTCCCCCCTCACATCCACCGGGTTCTTCTCTGGGGCTGCAAAGCAATGTGTCTGAGGTACGCCCAGGGCCCACTGCCCCAGTGAGGGGAACACAGCCTCCCGTGGCTTCCTCTAAGAGCTGGGCCCCAGGCTGTGACCCTCCCTGCCAGGTAGTCACCTGCCTCCGGTGTCACCACAGTCTCAGAGGTCGGGCTGGGCTCCCCGGGGCCATACTTGTTGATGGCAGTGACCCTAAAGGTGTAGTGGATGTAAGGTGACAGCCTGAGGGTGGTAGAGGTCTGGTTCCCTTGCACCTTGCCCAGACTGAACCATTTCTCCGGCTCCATTTCCTTGTCTTCAAATTCAATGTCATACTCTGCCAAGAAGCAACGCAGCAATGCAGTCCTCATATGGGGCATGCAGAGGAGAGTGCGGCAGGGAAGGAGGGGACCATGCCTCCCCGCACCCATGTGTGGCCAGGAGGGCCCAGGAGTGGGGAGGCCCGCAGCATAGTCGCTTACTCTCGATGGGGACATTGTGGTCCTCAGCGGGGCTCCAGGACAGGCGCACCTGATTCCGCTTCAACAGATGATGATTGGACAGCTCCAGCTGGGGCACCGGTCCAGGGCTCCCTGAGGACCACCGAGGGTGGGTCTCTGCCCTGCTCAGCCTCCTAAGCCAGGAGGCCTGCCTCCCCAACCCTGGTCCCTGGCCCACTAGCCTCCCGGGACTCACCCACCACCAGGAGCTGGGCTCTGCTCTCCACGACATCCAGCTTGGTGCTGGCCACACAGCTGTAGTTGCCCTGGTCACTGTATTCCAGGTTGTGGATGACCAGGCGGCCATCCTCGATGAAGTACCTGGGCAGGCAGGGACCCGTGTGATCCCTTTGCCCCAGGAGACCCACCGCCTCCCTGCTCCTGCTGCCTCCTGCTAGAACCTCCTCCTCAAAGCAGGACCAGGACTTCCCGCCCCTCCAGACCCTCACTTGTCACTGTCTCCAAGCTCCTGGAGCTCGCGGCTGTCCCTGCGCCAGGTGAGACTGTGCTGCAAGGAGGGATCAAAGGCAGCCTGACACGTGAATGACACCCTGGAACCCTTCTTCACCACGGCACTCCGGGGCCCCTGTGTGATCTGAGTGGCTTCTGAGGACAACAGAGGGGAGGGTCACTCTCATGTCCCCCAAAGACCCTGGCCCTCCCTCCCAGGGGCATCACCAGCTCTGTCACAGGAAGGCAGCATCTGACCTTTGACCTGCAGGTTAGCCACAATGGTGACATTGTTTTGATCATTAGCAGCCTGGCAGAAGTAGCGTGCCGTGTCATTGGCCTGGAGGTCCCGGATGCCCAGGGTCCCGTTGGCGTAAGGGAAGAAGCGCTCATCCTGAAGGACCGTTGCCCCTTCCTCATCCAGCCTACGGAAGCAGTGGGGCCGATTCAGAATGCCCCAATGGCAACCCAGGCCTTCCTGTCCTTCCCAGGTGCCTAGGCCCTCACCACTGGATGCTGGGCACAGGGGCCCCGAACGCCTTGCACAGAAGGTAGGCTGTGCTGCCTTCGACAGCCAGGTATGTCTGGTTGTCTGGAGTCAGGATCTTGGTGGGCAACTCTGCAGAGGAAATCACAAGAGACAGGCAGGGGTCAGAGGCTGGGCGAGTACGGACAGGGGTCAGTATCTGCGTCTGTGAAGAGCTGGCAAGAGCCCCGCCCGCCACCTACATCACCCACCACCACCACCACCACCGCCACCAGATAAAATCAGGCACTCACGGACAACGTAGATGTAGGCATTGGCCAGCAGGATCCCATGTCGATTGCGAGCCTCACACTGGGTCACCATCGTGTCACTGGGCTGCACGTTGCTCAGGTTCAGGGAGTTTTTTTGCTGGGTCCAGGACTTCTGGTCCTCGCTCAGCTCTGCAGCCAGACAGAGCCTTGAGCACTACTGAGGCTCCCTCCTCCCTCTCCTTGCCTCCTCTTCCCCCACCTCTTCCTCTCCCTGCAGTCCTAGGGCTCACCCTTCACAGGAATGCCGTTGATTCTCCAGGTGACCTCAGGCTGGGGCCGACCCTGGGCCTGGCAGTCCAGGCGTGCAGTCTCTCCCGGCCCATACAAGTGGCTCTGGGGCTTGTGCAGCCAGTACGGGGCAGCTGGAGGCAGGGGTAGGTGGCCTGAATGCACAGCCTGCTCTCCCCTCTAGCCCTCCTCGTGAAATAGCCTCCCTCCCGGGTGAGGGGGCCCAGAAACGGTGAGGGGGCCCATGGCAACTGTACCCTCCACGGTGACATAGTAGGCATGCCGGGCAGTGCCCAGCGGGTTCTCAGCCAAGCAGTGGTACTCGCCATCATCCTCCTCGCCCACGTCCACCAGCTGAAGTGTCTTGTTATGGTTCTGGTAGGTCACTCGGTCCACTGGCATGGGGCCACTTGGGCGCAACCACTTGATGGTTGGTGTGGGGCTGCCCAGGGAGAAGAGTAGAGGGTCACCCAGTCCTGGGCAGAGACCACCCCGTCGCCTTCACCCCCACCTGGGAGCCTGGACTCACAATCCCTCGGCGATGCACTCCAGGACCAGGGGCTGTCCCTGCAAGGCCACCAGGTGGCTGCTGGAGTTGGTAGGAAAGAGCAGGTGCGGCTTCCTGTCAATCATGCTGTTGGCTGGGATGAGAAAGTGGGGGGGCATGACCCACTTCTCCCTCACCTCCAAGGAAAGCACCCACTCTGCTCTGAGCACGGTCCCAAGGGGAGCCAAGCCATCCCTGAGGAAGACGGGGTGTGCCTGAGAGGGAGAAAGGAGTCAAGGGTGGGGTGGGCTCAGAGTCTTTGGAACTCACTGGCCTTGACCCGCAGGTCAATGGGTTCCTTCTGAATGATGGTGCGGGCACCCAGGAAGTGGGCGTGGCAGATGTAGTCCGAGTGGTTGTCAGTGGTGAGCACATTGGCAAAGTAGAGGTTCCCATTCTGGCCCATTGTCACCCTCTCATCCTGCTTGATGTGCAAGATCTCTGCAGGGGCATGGAGGGCAGGTTGGAGCCTGTTCAGGAAGAGCCTGCCTCACCCACCTACCATCCACCAGCGACACTCACTGCTGTTCATCCAGTAGATTCGAGGAGGCTCAGCGCTGGGGGGAGGGTCGCAAGGTAGCACCACTGGCTCCCCTTCCTCCACCTCCACCGGCTTCACTGTCTCCTTTGGCCACTTGGGGGCACCTAGAAGGGACAGAGTGGCTAGCTCTGTGGATCCCAACTCTCCTGTCCAAGGCAGTGCTGGGCAGGGGAAATAAGAGGAAGGGCTCTTCTGGCGGATGGCGGGGAGGCAAAGTTAAGGGGTCCATTAAGACATTGCTATGAGCAAGTCCATACGAGGTGGGGCAGGGTCCCTTGAGAAGCTCAAGGCCAAAACTAGCCTTGTCCCAGAGGAGGACAAGAGAAGCGTGGACAGGAGGCTGGCCGGATGGTAAGGGTTAACCCTCCCAGCACTCAGCTCCTCCCCAGGCAGATAGATGGCTCTGTCCCTGCCCAGGATGGGTGGGAGAGGCTGAGGTGCAGTGGTGGGGGAGGGGAGCCTGGACGGAGGCAGGAGTCACAGACCCTTCCATCATCCTGACACAGAAACCATGGCAACGGTTCCCAAGGTAACCAACCAGAGGGGTGGAGCAGGAGAGCTGGAGGAGGCAGGAGGCTCAGCAAGAGGGAACGGGTGACATGGATCAATATGGAGACAGGGAGAGGATAGGGGGACAAGCAAGGGTGGTGGAATTAGGAAAGTGAGCAGCCAGGGAGGGTAATGGGGATTCATGGAAAAGCAGGACAGGCAGAGAGCAGGACCACAGAGCTGTTACTGTCTCCGCTCTGGGCAGGGCACTGAGGCAGGGCAGGGCCCACCACAACGAAGGATGGGTAGGCAGAGAGAGGAGGCATAGGTGAAGAGAGAGCATCGAGAAAGGGGGCAATGGGCGAAGTCAGTCCCCTTGGCATGGAAGCAACCAGCAGGGTTAGCAGCTTTTAGCCCGAGATTCTGGCGCCTGTTGGAGGGACTCTGTCCAGCCTCCAGTCCCCTGGGCCCCTGCATAGTTGCGTACCCTCAGCCACGAGCTGGATCTCATGGGACATAGCAGTGCCCAGCTTGTTGCTGGCAAAACAGCGGTAGGTGCCCTGGAATCTCTGCGCAAAGTTACTGTTGTTGCCCGTAAGTGTGAAGGAGCCTGAGCGAGCCACCTGGTGCACAGTCACACCCAGCTGCTCCTTGGGCTTGAAATGGACACCATCCCGGGTCCAGCGGAACCTGTGGGCAGAGAAGGGCTGGAAGCTTGAGGCCCTGGAAGCCAGGACAGGGCTTGGGCTGGGTCCGAGGCGAGGATGAGCGGGCGGAGAGGGTGGCGGTCACTCACTGTACTTCAGGTTTGCCACTGGCTTCGCACTTGAGACTGATGTCATCGGTAGCAAAGACAACCTGGCGCCGGGGAGACTGCTCTGTGATGACGGGTGGCTCCATCACTGGGGAATAGAAGAATGATGGAGAGGGGACAGGAAAGTGATGGGGAAGGCACAGGAGGGTCAGAGGTCAGAGCCCTGGAAGCCCCAGAAGCATGGCGGGAAAGGAAAAGAGGGAGGAAGGAGATTTGGGATGACACCCAATGAGCTCAACACCAGGTTGGTAAGACAGGCAAAACAGGAAGGAGAAAAGGACATGCGAGTAGAGGGCAACATTCCCAGCCCCACCCGTGACTTACCATGGTGTCCCTCATCCGGGACATCTGAGCAGCAGGGAGAGGAGGAGAGAAATGCTGAAACTTCCCCAGCAGGGACCCATGGGGAAGGGGGAGGGGAAGTAAGGAGGCTGCACCATAGGGGATTGCAGGACTGAAGAGGCAGCAGGTCAAGGTCCAGAGGGGCAGCACAGAGCCTGGACAACAATAGCCAGGCAGAGGCAAAAAGGCTGGCCTTTTGCTAGAGGCATCCTAGGACAGATCCTTGCATGCCTCTGTCAGGTCTGGCAGGGCCAGCAGAACTCAGTTGCCTGTCCTTCCCTCACCCCCACCCCACCCAGAATGCCATGGAAGCTGGGAGACAGCCAGCCACAACCAGGGCACCAGCCAGGCTCCAGCTCACTTCCCTCGTAATCCAATTAGCATAGCTCAAAATTTTCAATTACTAGGGTCCATCCTTCAGAGACAAGCGCCCCCCCCCCCAGCCTTCCCAAAGGCCCTGGGACAGTAGCAATGGCATCTTCAGAGCCGAAAGTGCTGGTGGCTCTCAATCTCTCCTTCTTCTACCTCCCACAGTGCCTGGAGGCAGAGGCCAGGGTGTGCTGTCAGCCCCAGAACTCAGCCCAACACTGGTGGCTGGGAGGAGGAAGAAGTCAGGGCAGGAGGGGGCCATCTCAGAAAGCTTTGTCTCTGCAGGAGCCCTTAATGCCAGGGCCCGGCGGGGGGGCCCCTGGGAAACATGCAGGAGGGTCTGAGAGCAAGAGAAAGTGACAGGAATGGCAAGAAAGATGGGGGATCAGCTCAGTGGAGACAGCAGAAAAAGAAACAAAAGGGACTAGAGTGGCTGGGGTTGGGGAAGAGTGGGGGCTAGAGAAGAGGTTGCAGCAGTATTGGGGTCAATGCCAAAACTGCTCAGTGCCCAGAACAGCCTGGGAGAAGCCACCATGGTCTTTGACCTAGTTCTTTCTCTCCACTGCTGTCTTCTCTAAGTCCACACAGACCTACCCAGGAAAACTGGCCTAGCCCATCTGGTGGAAGAGCAGGATGACGCCCAGGGTAAGACTCTGGGGCTTCAGGCTAGGTGGCAGTGCCCGAGAGGCAGCAGAGTGGAAAGGAGGAAGGTTTGGGTGTGGGGAGGTGTGGAGAGGCGTGCCATGGGTGGATGGCAATGTTGGTGCATAATCCTAGAGGTGTTTGTTCATGTTGGGCTCTTGTGTGAGAACATCTAAAGATCTGTATGTGTGTGCCCACACACCAGTGTACAGGGATGTGTTGTGTAGATGACTGTGTCTCTTTGTGTTTCAGTTTGTGTACCTGTGTGCCTCCCCTCTTTATATCTCTATGGTGTCTCTGACTGGACATGTGTTTGCCCACTTGTGTGTGTGCCCATGTGTATCTGTGGCTAGAAAGCCTGCAATAGTGTGACTGCTTGGATCTCCATGTGCGTTTCTAAGGGGTGTCCCTAATCTTTGTCCTGTCAGCAACTCTTCTATTTCTCCAAGATGCCCCTGAAACCCTGCCACACTCTAGTCACAGCTATTCCCCCTTCTCTTTTTGAAACATTGGACTCCTTAATGTCCAGGCCCAGGCTCTGGATGCACAAGTGCCCTCCCATACCATCCCTTCACACAATCCCTATCTATAGCAGCAGGTCCACATTTCCTGCCCACACTGATACACACCAACACATGCCAACGTACTCATAGTCAACCCACTGACACATATACACACCCCAATACTAACAGTCAATTAGCCCCAGACCTTCACAAACCCGGCAGGACGGGAACAGTAACACCGACTCACAAACCCACAAAGGAAATGAGAATCACACAACCATAGAAGTACAAACACACACACAGTCTGTCCAACTCCCAAGATTCATGGCTACCATCCCAAACCACCACTTCCCTACCCATGACCGCCCCCCAAAGCTCACCTATCAATATAACCATAGACATGTGCTTCAGCAGTCCAGCCCCCACCAATAACTACACATTAAATCATAAGAATCCAGAAGGTTATTAGATCCCGGCCTGGGATTGTCAGGATGTAATTTCCACTCAAGAGGCCAAGATGGGAAAGAACCAGCTCAAGTCAGAAAACAGAGACAAGACTTGAATCCAGGCCTTTTCAAAAGCTCCATACTCCAGCCCATCACACATCCCTCGCTGTGGGTCTGGTAAGTCGGGTACTCCAGGTGGGTGAGGACGGGTGGGGCTGGCAAAGGAAAGGGCAGAGCCTCCAGGGATGTGTGTGGTCCCTAATCATCTCGAGGGCAGCTGTCCGTAGTGCTGAAGAAGTCCCCGCCAGCCGGCTCCGCTGCTCCCTGTCCGTGGTGCTGAACCCGCCAGCGTCTCCCGCTCAGACCTTCCTTCTCTCCAAAGGTACTCAACGCCCTGGGTACCTCCTCCCACCCACCCCCGTGCCCAAGAAAGGAGGGGCGAAGGCCCAGAATTGGGGAAAGGTGAGGAGGCAGAAGAGAAAGAACGGCTCCTCGGCGCGGCGCAGGGAGCTTACTCACATTCCTCAGGGATCTGGATGAGCAAGCAGGGGCTGCACAGGAGGAGACACCACACATACCGCAGCGCCACGGCCATCTTCCCCGCGGCGCCGGCGGCTCAGTTCGGCTTGGCTCGGCACAGCCGGCCGGGCTCGGCTCAGGCTCCCGCCGGGGAAAACAAACCGGTGGGAAGCTGGGGCTAAAAGCTGTGGGTGGGGGCAATAGGAGAGGGGAGGAAGGAAAGGTAGGGTTGGGGAGGGAAGGAGAGAACGGACAGACGTTAGAGACTAACATCTGGGTGCGCCCAGGCTTATGGCCCCCCCCCCCCCCCCCCCCCCCCCCCCTCTGCCCCCCCACCCCCCCCCACCTCAGAGGAAGAAATCTGGAAAAGCCTTCTCCCGGCTGGTCCTCCAGGTTGCCTTCCATTCCCTTCCTACTTTCTGTCTGCGTCTTCACGCCAGCTGCCTCCCCAGCAACAACTTGTTGCCCCAATCAGCTCCCCTGGGCATGCCACAGGCCGCTCTGTGCACATCTCCATGTGTGTCTAGATGTGTCTGTGAGCAGGTGTCCATGACTGTGTGCACACACGTGGGCACGCTTGTGAGTATCTTCTACGAGGGAGTTGATTCCAAATTTGTGGAATTCAATGTACAGGTGTGTGCACGAGTGAGCATCTGTGTGTATACGTGGGGGGTGAATCCACATGTCTGTGGCCTGTGTATGTGCACTACGTATATACATAACTGGTCCCTGGGTACTATTATGGCCTTAAAAGACAGAAGAGAAATTTGGGAAATGGAGCTAGGGATGGAAAGAAAGGAACTCAAGATGGCTGCATTTCAGAGAACAGAGCCAGGGAAAAGAAGCAGAAAGAGGGAGAAAGTCTGCCTTGAGAAGTGCAAGGATGTTGGAAAGCACCCCTGAAGAGCAGTATGGTAGGGTTCAGGGAGTACTCTATTGTCTCTCAAGTGTCTGGCAGTCCCAACTTCCGGGTCTTTTTCTGATTCTTCAGTGCTCAATTCTGCTACATGTGTATGCCCCAAGCAATATCAGCAAAGCCACATACACAGGGCCCCAGGTACTGGGAACCTGGGGAGGGGGGATGCTCCTCTTTGCAAGATGATACTGAGTTGAAGGCGTAGGAGAGGCAACGTCCTTGTGGAAAGGCATTGTCCTCACCAAACCCACACTGGCCATTCTCTCTCTTAAAGGAGGACCTGGCCCCTTCCCAGAACACCAAAGGCCTGGAATGCTGTGCTAAGGAATATGGACTGTCTGGAGGCAACCAGGAGCCACAAAATGATTTTGTGTAAGGGGGGCGGGGAAAAGAATGGCAAATGAGACAAGGCAATTGGACAGTGGAGAAAGAGCAGTTGGCTAGGAGTTCTCCGGTGCCCCACCTAGAGCTGGTGGGGGAAGATGCCTGCTGGAGGCCAAAATATTGACTTGGAGGGTGGGAAGTGGAGAGCAGACAACCCAGAGAGGACAACAGTGGGTCAGCCCCCCACGTCCCGGCACAGCCAGTGTGAGCAGGGCGGCCCCAGACTGACTTCAAGGCTTCATAGGAGACTCAGATCAGAGAGCAGGCGATCAAACAGCCGCCTGGGAGCCACAGAGCGCATGGTCATAGGAGGGGGAGTGAAGGAATCAAGCCAGGGAGCTCCTAGGACTCTCTTGCAGCTTGCTCTGTTTGTTGGAATGACTGTCCTCCAAGTCTAGGCTCCTGGAACCCCAGAATGGTGTTTGGTCTGTATACTCAGGGGTGTGTACACAGGGGAAATCCTATACCCAAGTTCCAGTCACCACTCCCTCTCCAATCCTGGTCCTATTCTCATTCCCTATTGCCTCACATCTGGTCTCTTGGGGTCTCCTGGTATTTGCCACCCAGCTAGTCATCGCCCCGGGCACTTGGAGACAGGCAGGAGCCAGAAGGTTTCGAAGCCCCTGACAGCTGGGAGGGGCTCTCCCTCTGCTGCAGGGCTCTGATCTCTCACCATTCATGGGGCAATTACCGAGCAAGCAGCTAAGGTTGTCATCCCAGCAGGCCCCCGGCTCCCATCACCACCCTGGGGTGAGGGAGAGGGAGGTGGGAGGTGGGGGTGGCCGGCAAGCTGGTGTACAGATGGAGCCAAGGCCACGTCTGCAAGGGGGGCAGGCAGGGGAAGACTGAAGGTGACAGACAGAGCAAGGAAAAGGCAGGAGGCAGCCAGAGAAGATGGGGAGTGGAGCTGGGGGGGGGGGGCAGGGACTTGAGACAAAGACCGCCACAACCAAGATGGAGACTGTTAAACCCAGGCATCATGGAGGAAAAGGGATGAAGAAAAAGAAGTACAAAGGGTGAGAGACAGCCCAGGGAGCGTTGATGAGAAACGGCAGAAAGAGCATGAAGAACAGAGAAGGGGGGTGGTGCGTACGCGCGGCCGTGAGGTACCACTACAGCATCCTAGTCCCTTGGGAGGGGGGCAAAGAGAGGAAGAGCGAAGATGGGGCTGGGGCTGTGGAGGGGGCTTCTCTGACGAACAGGACAGCGAGAGGAAACAAAGTCCCCCAGTGACCTCCCAGGCAGGTCCCCGCCCACTTGTGGCGCAGGGGTAAGGGAGTCTGTAAGACAAACGTAAGCCACTGCTGGCCAACCCAGAAGGCCCCAGTAGATCCTTGCAAGATTGCAGCCACAGGTACACCAGTGAGGGTGTAAGTACAAGGATCTGTGTGCATGGTTGTACACTGACTGTAACACTGGCCACTGTGCTGGGGAGCTTGAAACAAAGGCAGGACCCCGGGCATGAGTGGGTCCAAGACTGGAACCCGGGGGGGGGACCTCCTATCCCGGCAGGGGAAGACCAACAGCAGGGGCGTGGCAGGTCCTAGGGGCTGAGGCCAAGCTTCCAGGGAGGGGCTGGGAAGGCAAAAGGAAACCCCACCCACACCCGTGCCCTGACACCCAGATGCTCCCTGAGAATCTTGGCCTACTGAGGCCTCGCCTCTGTGGCACTGCTGGGTGCCAAACCCTCCCTACTGGGTTATCTCGAAGGGATCGGGAAGGTGGTAGAGGCCAGCTTAGACTGGGGTGGGTGGTGCCCTCCCCGGAACACACACTCACACATCCCAGGAACTGCCACCATGTCAAGCCCAAAAGACGCCCAGTATGTGCACACTGCATTCAGTCATTCAGTGGCGCCCGCCCCCAGTTCCCACCTGCAGTCCTTCTCTTGGCCCCTCCCAGCTGACAGAAACGGGCCTGCCCAAAGGACAAGCAACAGCGGGCCCTTCAAGGGAGCAGCAAAGAATCCCTGGGGCCTCCAGCCCCGCCCGCCCAGCCGTGTGTTTGTGTGTGTGTGTGTGTGTGTGATTGTAAGAGCGCACACATGCCTATGAGGAGCAGCCCCAGTGGGGTGCGGGAGGGTCACAGTGTGGGTATCATGGCTGTGTGTGCCTGAGGGATAGAGGGACACCCAAGTCTGGACTGTATGCTCAGCAGGGTTGGGGGGTGGTGGATCTTTTGTGCCTGGTGGTGTCACCTCCACCCCATGCACTGTGTCCCTTTAATGCTCCTCCTCACCCCCCACCCCCAGGCTGTGGCTGGCGGGTTTCCATGGTGATGCAACCCAGTTCTGCAGAGGTGGGGGAAACCGGAGGAAAGCACCGCTGTAGTCTAGTGGGTTCTTTCAATAAAACATAATGGAGGCTGCTAGTGGGTGCCCTGCAGGTAATAGGGTCGAGAATTCTTAAAGGGCCACAGCCCGTGGGGGCAGCCACGGCCGCTAGTTCTCTGTGTCTCCTAAGGTAGGCTATGTATGTCTCCTTATCCTGAAAGTCTGGGAGTAAGAAGACAGAGATGACCACTCTGTGGGGAGTGGAGGACAGTCCCCACCTGGGAAAGAAGGAAGAGGATCCCCACCAATGTTGGCACAATCTCAGGAGGATCTCTCCACCTCTGGGACCCCAGCCCAGCTGTCCCACTTACAGCACACCTGGGTTCTTCTGGGCCCAGTTAATTCTCATGGCGGTGGGGGGGGGGGGGTGCCATGATGCTGTGGACACCGAAGGCTACTCAAGTTTAGCTTGCCTCTTGGAGACTCTCATTTGGGGTACCTAAGGGGTATTGTTGTTAAGTGCCGTCGAGTCAGTTCTGACCCATAACGACGAGCCGTGGACAAGGGGGAAGGGCTTATTTGTTAGGCAGATGGCAGGCAAATGTGGGGAACAGGGAGGGAGACCAGGCAGAAATAGGATGTGGCTAACATAATGTCATAGAGAGCAAAAGCCTGATCCAAACAAGTCATTGCTTCCCTCAGGCTGGGTCCCCTCAGCCCGAAGCTCCCCTAATCCAAGCTCTGGGCCAGGCTGGGTTTCTCAGGCCCCTCCCTTGTTGTTGTTGTTATGTGCCGTCGAGTCGGTTCTGACTCATGGCGACCCTGTACAGGGTTTCCGAGGCTGTAAATCTTTACAGGAGCAGAACACCTCATCTTTCTCCTGCGGAACAGCTGGTAGTTTCGAACTGCTGACCTTGCAGTTCACAGCCCAGGCCCCTCCCTAGCCACCCCAAATCTTAGCTTCCTCTGGCCCTTTTCTCTCAATCCAAGTCTCCAGGAACCCCCTCACCAGAGGCCTCAGGTACCAGTAAGACCCTGTCACTGTACTGAGCAAGAGGCTGAGGCCCTGCACTGTGAGGGCTCTCCCAGCAGCCAGTATGGCAGGAGGGTCACTTCCCAGACCTGGACCACCAAACAGAGTCCTCCCCCAGGTCTGGAAAGCGGGGCTCCAAACAAGACCAGAAACCGGCAGACCCAAGAAATGGGGCAGCAGGTAACAGGTGCCCCTCCTCAAGGTGAGGTGATCCTGGTACTAGAGGGAGCTTCAGGGGCAGGCCTCAAGCATCCCGGTCCTGGGCCTCTTCCCCCACGGTGCCTGCCTAGAGCAATCAGGGAGAAGAGGAGACTGTAGGACAGGTAGGTCCAGGAGGAGGTGAGGGCACCTGAGGGTGGAGTAGGTGCAAACATCAGTAGGAAGCACTGCTCAGACCAAGCAGTCCTGGGGCACTGGGGCTGGAAGCTGCTCAGATCCTGTTGGCCTCTCCAACCACCCTTGGGTTCCCCA